GGGGCCACATGGTATGGGGCGGGGCCCGAGGCCGGAAGCGTCGCCAAAGAGAGAGAGGGGCGGGGCGAGGCGGAAGTGACTCCTAGAGACGGCCCCGCCCAACTCAGTCTCGGTTGAAGTCTTCGGCCAATGGAAAAGCGCGGATACTGAGGCTTTCCGGTGTGAGCACTTCCGCGGGGAGTTGAAAAGAGCCGGGCTGGCTACAGTCTTCTCTGAGGGTTTTCTGGTTGCGGGGATTGGTGTGGCGCGGTAAGTAAAAGACCAAGGGGTGTCTGTAGTTTCCGTTACTTTGGTCCGCTCCTCACCCCTCAACCTTCAAACCTCTGGGATTCCCGTTTCCAGATCAACGTTTGTCTGAACTCCACTTTTTGAACTGAGACCTGGCTGTCCGCTGAGGATGCTGCATCCCCCCTGGAGCCCCCTCACCTGTACAGGTAGTCCCCAACTTACGACGGGGTTCCATTCTGACGACTCCATCATAAGTTGGTTCTGCCGTAAGTCGAATACCTTTTTTTGTTCTTAGTTTTCATTATTATTGCCTTTTATTATCAGTAGCTTTATAAATCTGATCTTTGCCAGCGAGTGAACATCTGAGAATGATAACGTCAGCAAATTACACGCTGCAACATTTTGTGTAGTACATATTACTAACCGTAAGATGTATTTAAAAAAAAAAAAAGGACAGTGGTAAGTGCGGTTCTTCTAAGTTGACTATGTTGTAAGAGGACTACCTGTATTAATATTCTCACTTCTCAGATTCCAAAGGTGGAGTCTATGAGCCAAATCCTGTCACCCTCTTGTAAAAACCCTTGTTTTTTCCAGAACTTATTCTTAGACTTTGCTGCACTTTTGACTGTCTCTGTATAGGTTATCAGATTTGTTCATCTAGTCTGTTGTAACTTTTCTCCCCTCTGATCATCTTCCTTGATGATTTCAGAGTCGATGTGGACAACCCTTTCAACATCCAAGCCTCATCTCTAGCGACCCTCACATCAGCCTCTCAATCCCACAGCCAAAGCTTGGACTTTGTCACCAGTAATCAGCAATTCAGACAGCCTTCTGTCCAACCACAGCCTGCTATCGTTTCAGCAATAATGTCACCATAACTGTTCTTTCACTTTATCAGAACCTCTAGTCTGTTGAAAGCCTCTATTTTATCTCTTTCCATTAACCCCTTCCACTCTTCCTTCCCTCCTTATCCATCTTAGATTCAGTGGTACATCGTTACAGTCCTGCCCTAATTCCCCAGCACTTCCTTTTTTCCTCTTAGGTTTACCCAACTAAGTCTCCCACCTGGATGGACCTATATGCTTCTCTATGCCTGTGTACCTGTGCCTTGTCTTAGAAAATTGTCCTACTGAACAGGCTGGCATTGCTAAATTAATACATATCAACCTTGAGTGGACTATCAAAAATATTTATTGAACTTCCTTTATATTCTAGGCCAGGCACTCTCCTAGGTGTTTGAATTGAGCAGGGAACAAAACAAAGGCCTTGTCCTCAAGGATCTGTCATTCTATTTTAAGGAGACAGAAAAATATATAGTGTCAGGTAGGGATATGTGCTATGAAGAAAAACAAAGCAGGATAAGGATTAAACAAGGGTGTCAGACAGCTGCTATTTTATATAGGTTAATCAGAGAAGGAGTCGTTGATAAGGGACACTGAAGCAGAAACTGGAGTTTCTTGATGAAACTGGAGAAACTTGATGGGGGTGAGCCATATGGATATCTAGGGGAAGAGTGTTCCAGACAGAGGGGACAGCACGTTCAAATGCTCTGGGGCAGGAACATGCTTGGCATGCAATAAGAATAGCAAGGAGACCACCATGGCTGATGCTTAGTGAGTGAGGGGGGAAAGTGGAGTGGAGGGAGAGAGTGAAGATGATATCAGAGGGGTAGCCAAGGGCTCGGTAGACCTTGTAGACCATGGTGACAACTTTGGATTGTCATCCCTGAAACCACTGCAGAGTTTTGAGCAAAAGAGTGATGATCAGATTTAAGTCTCTAAAAGGATCATTCTAGCTGCTATGTGGAGAAGAGATTATGGGAGTGGAGGGGTAGTAGTAAAAGCACTGTCCAGGCAGGAGATTATGATGGCCTGAACTAGGTG